CTCACTTTTTTTTCTTCCTCCCCCCCCCCAGGTTCCCCCCTCCCGAAATGGCTCCTCTCAGACCCGTGAGTATCACCCCCCAATTAACCCCAATTAATCTCAATTAACGCTGCGGAGATGACGACCCGAACTCTCTCTTTCCGACCCCCACGTGGAGAGAAACCCCTTCACACCCCTCTGAGCGGCGCCCTGGCCCTAATTACCCCTTAATTACCCCCCTAATTAACGGCCTAACGAGGTTCTTCGTTTTCCCTTCCAGCTGCGGGACGCCCGCGCTCGCCCAGGTTCGTTTTTGCCCATTTCTCTCGTTTTTTTGGGGGCGTTTTGGGGGGTTTTTGCTCGGTGATGAGCAGCACGACAAGCATATGGCTGAGCCCCGTGATGCCTCTGCGTGCTGAGAGCGCCCTCGTTAAGATAATTACTAATTAATGGGGGCGGAGATCCCGAGTGAACGGCGGGGTTGGGGCCGCTGGGGTTGGGGCGTTATTAATTCCTAATTAGTGAGCTAATGGGGGCTCTGGGGTTGGGCAGTGGGGGCTCTGAGATTGAGGGTAGGGAGCCGTTATTAACCCCTAATTAATGAGCTATTTAGGGGTAACGAGAAGTTATTAGCCCCTAATTAATCACCCATCTGGGGGCTCTGGGATCAGGCAGCCGCGATGAAGGTGAAATTAACGACTTGATTCCCAGCGGAGCGCTTCGGTAGCGCTAATTAACGTGAAATTAATTAACGATTTTCTTCCCAGCTGAGCGCTCCTTCAGCTCCCGATGGCCGCCGCATGCTGGAGGTGCGTCCGACCCCAAGGCCGCCCCGGTGTCCGTCTGTCCGTCCCTCCCCCATGGCACCGTGTCCGTCTGTCCGTCCCACCCCATAGCATCGTGTCCCCAGTCCCTCTGTCCCCTCCCCCCCTCATTGCATTCTGACTCCGACGTCCTTCTGTCCCTTCTTCGTGCCATTGTGTCCTTCTGTCCATCCCCCCCCATGCCCTCATGTCCCCCCTGTCCGTCTGTCTGTCCCCCACCCCATGCCATTGTGTCTGTCTGTCTGTCCCCCACCCCATGCCATCATGTTCCCTTGTTGCCCCCCCCCCCCCACATTGCATTCAGACCCCTCTGTGTCCTCCCCCCACCCCCTCCCCAGTGCTGTGACCCCAGTGTCCGTCTGTCCGTCCCGTCCGTCTGTCCCCCCACCCCAGCTCCGAAGGGATGAAATCCCTCCTCTGGACGACGCTGGTCTGATGGCAGAACCGAGTCACCAAAGCCCTGAT